TGGAGACGATCCTGTGAAGAGGAAATGAAGAAGTGCAACCTGTCGTGGGGTGAAGTGAAAAAGGCTGCCCAGAATAGACTGCGTTGGAGAGCTGTTGTTGAGGCCCTTTGTTCCACGGGGAATCCAAGGAGATAAGAAGAAGAAGAAGAAGTTGGTTGAGGTGGAGCTCTGTTGAAATATTTAACATCCATGAGCAACCACTGATTATTTTCATTACAGATTAACCTGCTGATTATTTTATCCACTAATTGACTGATTGGTTTGTAAAACTTCTGACAATGTCATCACAGTGCTCTAAAGGATTATCACAACAGGCCAGACTTGTCTGTGCGCACACACACACACTCACACACACTTATGTGAGCCAGGAAAGTGTGTGTGTTTCCGGGTTAGATCAGGATCAGCGGCAGCTCTTTTGTAAGACAAAGGTTAGAGAAAGAACAAACAATGTGTAAAATGTTTTAGATAGGGTTAGGTAACCCTTTGTTAACCAACATTTATTGTTTGGAATTAAAATTATAAATGGGACACATACTTTGACCTGTACAGAGAGATGGTGTCCTCAAAGGTGTTTGTTTTTGAGATACCCAAAGGAATCCTATGCTGCCAATTTAAATTTCTTTTTTGGTGGATGGAGCTTGGTGATTTCAGCCACCTTCTCTCTGCCATTTTTCCGCTTCATGTGTGCATGTGATACTCACTGCAGAGTCTGACAGGCAGTTGAGGAAGAAAGGTGCACATGCATTGTTTTTTTTCTGCAATACTGGTAATAAGCAAATGTGCATAAGTGTCAGTTTTCATTCCATGGTATAACATGAAACCGGTATACCCCCCTGCAACCCTAGTCTCAACTACGTGCTGGTGCAGCCCAGGCCAAGTTTAAAACCATAAATTAAATCTATGTTGTTGACGGCTGCTGGTTCAGGAAGAACAGTTGGCCTGTGAAAGAGAACTGCTGCTGCTCAATTCACACACCGTTTCCCTCTATGTGGTTCTCAACCGTATCAAAATTGTGAACAAGTGCCACAAATGCAACAATGCAGTTGCAATAGCTATGCTCTCAAACTGCTAACAGAATCAATATTATTTTGGGTGCAAGCCATGTGATATCCTCCAGACATAACAGGTTAGTTAATAATAATGTAAACTCCACTAATTTCTAATCAAAAGACAGTGCTGTTAAAATGTTTTTAATAATTCTACAGTGTTTATAACCCAAAATCCCAGAGAAGACCCTGAATTGCATTACTTTATAATAATGCATCATAAGCACAGCAGTGGAAAACAGCATCATGATCAAGAGTTAAAAAAAAGGAACAGAAACAAGTGGTAGAAAAAAGGGAGTCTGTCTCAACATCCACGCATGACAGCATTGTAGGCAGGTTAAGTGCCACCTTGTATAACAAATTTACAGCAGATGCTGCACCAACAACACCCCATCACCTACTTAGACTGAAAGTCTGCAGATAATTTGCAGAAAATGGCAATGCCTCTGCCTATGCACAGTACACAAATACTTTCTCATAATAAAAACCACATCTATGGAGGCTTGTGGACAAAATTATACTTCTGATTAACTGGTTTGTGTGCGACAGAACTTCGGGGAATAATTACATTTCTCAAGATTACTGACCTATAAAGATCAGTTGTGATAGTATTCATATCAGTAAAAAACTTAAATTAATTTTGTTTGTGTGGTGTTGTAGTGTCGGGAAACAAAAAGAGAGATGTTTCACTTTCTGCTCTGGAAATAGTGTTGCCCACACTTAGAGAACAGAGGCCGCTCTGAAAATGAAACTATTTCCTTCAAAGTTCAAGAGGAATAAATACTCTGTCTTTTGAATGACTCAGACCAGGTGATATATTTAAGAAAGGATTTATTTTTAGTCATTTTCTTCTTTTAAAATCATCGGCAAGCCTGTACAGAATTTCCGAGCCCTGCCAACGTTATTATCATAGCTGCTCAATGAATCCAATATGCCATACTATAAGTGGAGAAGAAAAAGGAGTAGTAATAAGGAATTCTTACTGGTTTTGGAGTTGAGCTCGTAAGGATCAGACACACTGAGCAGATCAGCTCCCTGACTACGACATGAATCCAACGCTTCCAGCCAGGTCACTGCAACACTTGAAACAAACTCATAGCAGAATTCCCCTTCTGGCCCAGCAAAGAGAGACGTGCAACCTTTCTCTGCAAAGTCAAAGAGACAACGTGAGTCTGAGAGTGCGTGTGTAGAAATCTATGTGTTATTCAGTTTCATTAACATGGACATATTTTAACATAATTTATTAAAATAAATAAAAATATCTTGCACACAATGAGTTTCTAACAAATATTTTAGGTAAATAACATTGTGACTAAAGTTAGAATCATGACAATGTTTTGCTGAATGTCGCCACAGACAATATCCTTTTGAGTAAAAACAGAATGCAACGTGCCAGGTGTCAGACAGTGTCCCTTCTTTCTGTCTTGGTCGTAGTCAGAGGAGGTGGCACACCACGACAACCCAGGGAAATCTGCATCAGGGAGGCATCCATGATGCCAGCTGCCATTGTATTTGAAGGGGAACTCACAGGGTTTGCCAGCAGAGTTCCCATTGGTGGTGTGGACGACTGCACAGGGACAAGATATGAACAAAGAGCAAAGTCAAAGACCTATTACAAGATCCTGGTAAAAATATGTTGTACTGTAAAACCAAACACATGTTGAAAGTTAAATTTGGTGTCTTGTTGCATACACTAAACCACATTCTTCTCAAGATAAACAAACACAAAAATGTCAAACAGATGGCACTAAAATTAACTAAAGTCAGAATAAACTCTTTCTTTAGAGCCATTGTTGGACAACATAGCAAGAGGGAAATTTGTTGGTGTTCAACAAAACCACAGAGACAGAGGACATTTAGCGTTGCATATGCAAATAATGGACTATATCTAACACTGAATGTAGGTTTCTACATAGGCACCTCAGCCTAAACCTACAGCAGGCCCTGTACGATGACAACTAAATGAGATGAGTGTGAACAAGAAGAAAGCGCATTCTATAGCTAAGAAATAAGATAGCTTATAAAGATATTGGTGCAGAAAATCACAGGAGAGTTTGCTGTTTCAAAGACAGAACTAGAAAGAAAAGAAATAAAATACTGTGTGAAGGAAAATAGTTGTAATACAAACCAAACCAAAGCTTAGATTTAGAAAGGCTGAGAAAAGCGGTATATAAATGAAACTTCATGCCAGTCTGCTCCTTTCCATTTGTGTATAGAGAAAGCATATACCACATTTTCTGGGCCTCTGATTTATAAATACAGTAGTTTAAAAACTTTAACTCCTGCTATATGTCAACAATTTCCCCAAACCAGTCAGATACAGACACCACCTTTCACATTTCTGAAAAATACAGATTATTTTGATTAGTATTATCTATTTCTATAAATGTAAGTGTAACTTAAGATGTAACTGTAGATCTTACAAATGATAATCAACAAGAAATTCTATCAAAGTTACTGTACAATATCAGAGTTAGTTTCAAAATGTGCATTTTAAAGACCTAAATTTATTCAAATGTCAAACTTTCCCTGTCTACTCACAGAGATAAACTCCACATATTCAAGGTAACAGAGTACCAAGGTACCAATACCAAAACAAAAGTGAAAGCAGCTTTTATGTCACGCACAACACAAACTGACTGCATGCATTGAGAGAAGGAACTCCCCCAAGATTCAGAAGACAGAGTAGAGTCTGAGACAGTCAGCCTTTAGAGAAGTCCCATTCCTTAACTTGCACTTTCACTCCCCACAAAGGAGGAAAAACTGATGGGCATGAAGACAGCCCATCAGTCAGGCTCTGTATAAAATGTACCAGAACCTGTTTAGTCACGAGACACAAACGCTAGCAGAGGTAACACCAGTACATGGGTGGAACATAGGAAGGTTAATCCCCTTTCACAGGAAATATATCCTCTGACAGAACTGGATGTGTTACACTCAACACAAGCTGCATTTAACACTACTTTCATCTCTTGACTGAGTTCCATAATGGACTGCTCGGAGCACTTTTTACTGCACTGAGATCTATGTAAGCATTTGCTCCCTCAGATAACAGAAAGGAAACCACACTCACCACGGTATGGCCTCTGGCAGATGTTGTCCTGGGAGTCTCCTCTTACCCAGTTATCACCAGCGTCCCCTCTCACTCCAACTTTGTCTTCACTGACTACCAGACCCATCTGATAAACAGTGTAAACAGCCCCATCCAGGCAGCGCCAATACAGGAGGTTGGCACCACAGTCAACCAGGGACACTGTCTTGGTGGGGATGTTCAATGCCAGACAGAGTGATGTGGCCACATGGAAGAGGCGGTGACCCCAGCCCCACTTCCACAGCTGGGACCTGCTGTTTGGGTCACATGTAGTAAGGCTCAAGTTTTCCGAAGCATCTCTATCCAGGCACTTCCCTGTGCTGGAGTGCTTGATGGTGAAAGCATCCTCATCTGCAATAATGGGACAGACAGAGAACACCTCAGCTTAAAAATAAATGACTGATTTCACCTTGACATCTGCTGAAAGCTTTTTGCTACCATTAAGATCTAGACTGGGGTCTGCAATGAGCTTCCACTCTAAAATGATTACTGAGTCAGTGCCTGTTGCTTTATGTTGTAAAGGCAAAAAAAGAAAAACAAAAATTACCAGACATAAAATGAAAATATCTGTCACATGATGCCTGTGCAAAATCCCAGGACAGGATAAATATCTTTTAAAAATATTTCTGACTTTCAGTAAGAAAGCCATCACAAGGAAAGAGATGCAGGAAAACCCTCCAACCAAAGACGGCTGACTATTTGCCAATGAAATCAAGAATGAACTGACTTTTATCTTAAGATAAAGCTTTGAACAATAGCTACTGTAAGATAGTACTATATACAGTACACAATATACTATACGATATGGCAATCAGATGTAACTCATCACATGCCTTTAGAGACTCCCTTTTGTATTCTTGTTCAAGTACTGACACTGTCAGTCCATGTACTTAACTTTAATACATCAATAATAATAATAACCTCTTACACCTGATGTGTATTTTGTAAGGTCGTGGCCTAATTACTTTTAAGGTGGAGTACTTTTATGTCAGCAAAAAACGCCGTAACCCAAGTATCCCACCCTCAAACATAAAATCTGAGAGAAATGCTTGATCTGTGGCTTTGAGTCTGCATTTAAACTAATATATTTTATAGAAGATACACAAGTATATGCACAGTTAAAGAGAACAGGGCATAAAGTATAATAACCTGGATAAATGTTAGGATTGATTACAGCAGCATATGAAGCAAACAAAAACATACAGTATCTACCCACACAGACTTTACAAAATAAATACCAAGATCATATTGCAGCCTCATTGTACAGTACTACAGCCATGCAGGCTTGGTTATTACTCCACTGAGCACAAACAATATAACGTTAGCTAGCATGTATACTATGACAGCTGTGTACAGATGTAACACATGACATACTGTACAGTACACAGAGCTACTGTACAAGGGGAGGTGTGGTCAGTCAGTGAGGTTGCAACTTCTTTATCCTGTCGGGATACTGAGTGACATAAACCCCCTGGGGGATGGAAACAATGTCAAACTACTACAAGTTAAGCACCTGGGTCGTACCTGCCTCCACTTCTTGTTGTCTAACAGGTTTGTAGCTACTGTCGTCGGATTCGCACCAAGTTGTTATTTACAGTAAATGCGCCAAATAGCGAAATGGCTTAGTCACAGCGGAAATATGTTAAGCGACACAGAAAGATAAGGAAACTATCGGAGGGTGAGATAAGCCACTTACCAAGACCTCCAACATTCGCCGATGAGCAGGTCCCCAAGAAAACACTCCCCAACACAGTCAACAAACAAAGGGAAAGTGTTGCTTTGGATAATATCTGCATGGTCCCGGCTGAGTCTTTTTGTTGGATTCATAAAGAATCTGCCTTCCAGAGAGCTGACGCACTGAATATAGGCCGGTTGATAACTGAACTCGGAAACGAAAGTAACGTTAAACAAACAACTAACCTAATCCTCCCCCAGCTGTCAGCTGTATTTTAGAGTCCCGCTTCGACAACGCTGTTAAGCTAACAGTAACCAGAATACAAGAAGGCACTTCCTGCTTAACCTTCAAAATAAAGTTCTAAAGAAATGTACTGACAACTACTTCCGCTAGGGAAATAATACGTGAATGAATGTTATATATGATTTTTAAAAAATGTGTATGGCAAACCAAACAATACCTTACAAAGACAAATAGGCTGTACGACACAAAAATTATTCTTAGACGAAATAAAATCAATTATAACATGAAGTCAATATAATGACCTAATAAAAACAAAAAAAATTACATGCAAAGACAGGAGTGAGATATATACTAAATTAAACTAAGAAAATGAAAAATACTACGTGGAAAGTATGAGGAATAAAATTATACTTCTGTAAATCAAACCTAAGGTACTCACTAGGTCAAGTAAATTTTGAGGTGCTAAGTCAAAATGATGAGACACAAGTCAAAAAATATGACTGTACAGTGTATCATTATTTTAAAAACATGTCTCATCATTTTGACTTAGCATGTGAAAAGTTTGATTTAGGCCTACACTCTTGACTGGCTTAGTCAGAAAGTATTATTTTTATCATGCCATAGCCTAATTTTCATATTCTTTCATGGTCAGTCTTTTTAAGATTGAAATTGGCTTCCACACATTCAAACTAGCTTATGTTGATGCCATATATCTGAACCTATAAGCCAAGAAGACAATCACTTACATGTCCTTAAAGTTCTCTTCTATCAATAATTGTCATTTATGGTAGCTACGGTGTGTCTCTCTTAATTCAGAATCTGTGCCTGGGTGTACTTTATAAACATGTAGCATTATATAATATACACTATATACTGTAAATATAGAGTGATTAAAGTGCCATATCAGCAGTATAAAACATGTCTGGGTGCCAAATTTTATCTTGCTTTGAAGGCGAAATTACTCGTCTTCCGGCTTTGCCTTTGTCTGTTCTGGCTCTTGGCGTTAGTGCCCTCCCTTCACATTCTTAATTGCCATGGATGTATTGTCTACTTACCCACCTCACGCCCACTTAGGAAGTTTCCGTCAACCAACACTCACATTTTGTTCTTCGTCCGCCAGCTGCAGAAGACAGCGCCCAAACAACTAATAGCAAATTATTCCTTCTTATATTTCAACACACTACAGTTATTATGGTTTTATATGTATATCTATATAACAGCTGTCATTAATTTGTAATTTACATCCTGGTGTCAGACCGTCAATAGCTGCACTTTGCTCCCAATTCTTCAACAGTTGTTGCCAATCACTGATGGCCTTGTTAAGTAAATCTATGCTTGGACGGTGCTCTGCTGAAATCCACTACACACTAGGTGATTATTATATCATTACACAAAGGCTACAAGCTCAGCATTGCACCCACAGAGACCATATATGTTATCTATTACAACAAGAAAAGATACAATACCAAAGGCAATCAGGGGTGACTTGGAGAACAAAGGTACTCTAATTTGAAAATTAGACCTTCTTGGCCTAATTCCCATATCTTCAATAGGCTGAGTATCTTCCTACAGCCCACAAGGACTATACTTTATCTGACCTAGAACTTTTTAATGGAGCCACCACAAAATGAATTTAGTTTCACCTTGTTCCAATTGTGGCTGTTCTTCATAATGCGAAAATTATTTTATTGTCATTTTATTAGACTTTAACAAAAGGCAGCAATTCTCTGAACCTTGCCACTTTGTAGTGACAGTGAACACAATCAAGCAAACATGAAGTATTTCATTTTCCTTTAAGGATACAGCACAGAACTGCCAAAAATGTAAGCAAAAGATCCAAATTGCAAAAAACAAAAAAACTCAGGTGGGTATAGAGAGTGCATGGTTAGATATTACTGTACGAATTCTTTGACCCAAGTTACACACATATGTAATGAGGATGTACAATATCAAGGAATTAGCTAATTGTGGCCATACTGTGGTGAAATTTTTAGGCTCTATTACACAAAAAAAGTTAATTACAGTACATAAAAAGCAAACAAAGCCTTCACTAAGGATTTCCTCTATTTCTAAGTCTCCTGTGCTTTAACACAACAAGACAGTGATCAAACTGGTATGGTTGACATTGTACCGTTTATAACATTTAATTTACAGAGTGAAGACAAAACACAGTGCCCAACATATAAGGCAGATATATAAACATATAGACCCTACACAAATCAGTTAGGCCTACCTTAAATTTATTAAAACAAAACCATAGTTGTGCAAAATACAACTCAATTTGTCATGTCTCACATTTTCTCTTAGTTTTGAACATACAATGTGAAAAAAATACAAAATACAAAAGTAATACTGATATAGCTGCTGTATCACACATACAGCTCTAACAACTGCTGGATTCTGAATAAAATATAGAAAATTACATCAGAAATATCACTGGACCTTCTTTGTTTTATATATGACAATAAAAGTTTTGACAAGTAAACCAAGATTTTCCTTCACCTGTTTGAATCTTAAGTAAAACCTTTCTTTATTATCCAATTTGTTTTCCTAGCATGTGTTTGCATACACATACCACAGAATTATAACAAATGTTCAGTACCTCTTTTAACAAGTTTAAAACTCTCAAGCATTCCTTCCTCAACATTCTCATTTATGTGAATTTTGTTAGTCCGCCACAGCAGTTCAAATGTGGGCTCTTCAGTCATCTTCATATCATTTGACTCATTTAAATTATTTGGGTAAATGAAAACCCTACTGAGCAACTGGGATCCTTCAAACACATTCTCATATTTAAGAATAAAATATTTGCCGTCATTGTCTCAGTACTGTCCTGAGGAGTCAGCGTCACAGCTTTACAGTGTCATGTGGCATTGAGAGACAGAAAGAGAACAGAAGGACAACAGAGAGGAGCCACTGAGTGCTATTCTCCTGAGTGAGCCTCCAGGTCTGTGATCAGCACGTTTCCATCTGACTCTGTGTCCTGTGAGCTGGTTTGTCTGTAGTAAGCATTGCCAAGCCTGGGGAGCCCATGAAAGCATGCAGAGTTCTTATACACAAACCACATTGCTCCTGCCAGCAGTACAAAGATCAGTACAGCCACCAGCATTGCAGTGGGGATGATACCATGATGTGAACCTGAAATACACAACATGATAGCTTTTATGAAGTCACTCTTTGGTTGCATGTATAAAGACAAACACAGATGAATCTCTACATGATAAATCACTCTTAGCATGTTTGATCATATACTGAATCATTACTGAACTTTACACAGCCCCCCAATATGAAACAATGTGCTTAGGACTGCTAAAGGACACATTACATTTTTCAAATCAAGTCTTTAAGTCACTCAAATTAGGACACATTACCATTTAGTGGCTCCACTTCTACCTCGGTCATTACATCTGCAAAAGAACACGTGGAAGTTTGATATAACGTACTATCTTGGGGAATTAGACCATTTAGATGAGCTGATAAGAAACCTTACACTAATATTACCTATCAAAAACTCACTGCCATGAAATGTGATCTTGTTCTAAAATTGTTCAGCCAAAATTATAACAGTTGTTAGGATAAGCTTATTTTACCCTATTGTCAGGGTGTTGGGTGAGCATTCTAATGGAAACCCAGTGTACATGTTAAATGATGTTTTGATCTATGACTGTGCCCCACAGTGGGTATAAGGCCATGATGTCATACATGTAAATCAGCTGAGCACCATGACAGGTAATACCATTCACTAGCCCTAGGCTACTGTGCCTAAGATACTGTACTTTAAAGCTGCTTTTAACTCCTATCATCACTCAAGCAAAGAGTAAATGCTGACTGGCTTGACCCAGCCTCATATCTGGATCATATCTGTTCAGGCTAAGCTGCTGCTTAAAGTGCCTTTGATTTTGTGTTACTTATTTATCTACTTTATATTTCATTTGTATTTTGTGGCATTCATGTGGATGGCGAAGTAAGAATTTCATTGTACAGGGAAACACATTTCCTAACTGTGCATATGACAAATAAACACTTTGACCTTTGACCTTGTAGCTCGAGCAGCAGTTTCATCTAAATGTCTAATCCCACTCCACAGTCCAGCTGTTACCGCTAGTTATCTATTTCTGCCAGACCAGTTATATCAGAAAATTCCCACTCTCTGACCGTGTGCTTGTTAAAAGCTTTCTTATATCCCACTCTCTGTACTTGGTAGAATGACCTGGAATTACATCTACACTGTATTGTAGACTAACCTAGAGTGGCTGTCCCAGCTGATTTGTTAGGCAGTTTCATTAGAGGCAGTGTCATATTTTTTGACATGTGTCTCATCATTTTGACTTAGCACCTCAAACCATCACCGTGTACTTTCACTAATCTCACCAATGTCCACTGCTTAACACTGAGTAATATATTTGTTCTCTGAGAGGCCACCTCTCTTTTTCAGGAACACCCTGTCCACATTCACACCTGTAAGTTGCCCAGTACAACCACAGACTGACCTGTGGCTAGGGAGCAGCTACACTGGAGCTGGTGGGGATTAAGAGCAGTGGTGTGAATAAGGGTGAAGCAAGCACTGCTTTGTCACTTGTCCCACACACCTGTCTGGGGATTGAAGTGGCGCCCTTCTGTCCACAAGCTCACTTCTCTAGACTTTAGGCAACCACATAACATTTTACATAATGTTACTAGCACTTGCATCCTCATTGTATCTGTGTTTAATTCTCAAACACTACAAAAATGAGCTGAAAGACGTAGAGCTTGAGGGAAACTGCAGAGTGTGGTGACAATTATCTGTGGGTTCATCACTGCAATCACCCCCTTTCGCTTGCTAGTAGTCATGTCATCAATAATTAACAGAAAATGATCATTATACCAGCTATAATGGATATGATCACTTTAACAACTCCATACAACTGTGCCTCAGTCCTTGAATAAAACCCACTCCCAAACTGAAGTAAATAGGGCCTTTGCCTTTGTGCTCTTACATCATCTTATTTGTACTCCCAATTTTTACACAGCTCACAGCTAAGTTCGACTAAAGGGACTCAGTATTCTCTCAATGGGTCCTGGAGTTCCGAGCTACAGCCCCTTGTTCAACTTACCTGAGATGGTTTTGCAGACAAAGCCAAGCCGTTCAGTGCACTGTGACTGGTGCCATACACCATCAACCACCCTGGTAGTAACACAGGTATCTGTAGTCAGCAGCTTGGAGTCTGGGGCTTTATTGGCCCAGTTGGTGTAATCCACCGGTGAACCATCCACCCAGGCCATAGAATCAGCTAAAAGCAGAGGCCACAACTGAATGAAACAGATTTCTGAATGTCGTGATCATCTGATGGGGATGGGAGAGATCCTTACTGTCAGTGTTGAAGTACATCCCCAACCACACAGTCTGGTGAAGGAAGCCCAATGACCACAGCTGCTCCAGAATAAAACGATTCTCTGTCTCACTCTCAATGGTCAGGACATCTGAGGTGTTGACTAGAAAGAGACAGCAGCACAATAAACCTCTGTGCAGTTTGAATGAGTAGTTTGACATATTTTTTCACTATTGCGCTGAGAGTTAGGTGAGATTTTTTTATAGCATATTTTTTCACTTTTTTGCTGAGAGTTAGGTGAGATTTTTTTATACCATACTTATGTTTGTATGGTCAATATGACATAGGAGGATTTAACTTTTTTCATCTAATCAGTGCAAGTGTCAGTTTTCTTAACCCTGGTGCTTTTCAGAGCAGCTCCTCCCTTTGACCTGTAGGGGGAGGGCATGCATTCCAACCAGCAGATTAGATTGATAAAGCAGTTGGTTCTTTCATTTTTCAAATTTTTAATCATGTTATCATTTTTATCTAGAAAAAAAACAACAACACAGACATTAAAATCACATATTATGAATTCCTACCTTTCTGCCTACAGTGCTGTCTGGACTCTTCAAATGTAAGTTTCTGCACCACAGGCTCAAAGTTGTAACAGCCATGTCCAAATTTCACCCACCTCGAGGAACACTGCACCTCATATGAGATAAATGGTTTGCTCCCTGTGAGGAAGAGCAGGAGATGGTATTATGTGTAACAGAAACCAAGAACAAGAGATGCAGTGTGGAGTGCTGTGATTGTTGTTTCACTGATGCGGCACTGACTTGGTGGGGGAACGTGACACAAGGCTCCTGGTAGTGGAGTTTCACAGTCAGCTCTCCGCCAGCCTCCGTTCACGTCCATGTACACACACTCTCCCAACGCAAAGTCGTCATCGTCATCGGCTGCGTCCCAGTGTGTGTACACTGTGTCACTGCCATCTGACCACTGATAGTTGATGCCACTCTGAAAAGAAGAAGTGACACCAATGTGTCCATCAAATTGTTGTTGACATTTAAGTGGACATGTGACTGCTCTGATCTTTGCTGCTGTATACATGTTAAATTTCTATTAAGTATTTGTTTTCACTGTGTATGTTTCAATGTGTGTTTCAATTCCTGTTGCAAAGTTTAAGGTAAACTTTGAGAAATCTTCCCAGCAACTCTTGATCATGCTTACTGTACTGTAGGTTGCTTTTCCAATGTCATAGCATTATAACATTTAAATCTCATAATAGACTACTGTTTACTTGAATTCTTAACAAAGAAGCAACATGCCCCACACTTTTGTTGAGGTTTCTGAGGGGAATTCCAGCTACTGACTCACCAGAAGGGACACATTTAGTCTTCCAGTATAATGATCAAGCAACATAATTTGAAGCAGTCATCACAGTTAAACTATAAAAAATACAATAGTTATTTGTTAGAGTTGATCTAAGATGGTGTGAGAGAAATTCACAAGTCATGTATGGGTCAGAGATTCCAGTGGGTTAAGATACAGATACGGTATGTGCTGTCTCTGTCAGGACGATTAGTTCCATCAGTCAGGAAGATTAAGGACGTGTGAGGTGAGGTATTATCTCATCCAGCAGCCTGAGTCTCGTGTGTGTGTGTGTGTATGGGGAAGCTGGCTTTAACCGGTTCACTGTGGAGCCTCTCAAGGTCTCTGTTCTGATAACATGCAGATTTAAGATCTATCAGTCGGGAGCTGTTTCTGGAGTTTGATTTTGACATGCAGCTTTATATGTTTCATGCTCTCTATCCAGAATAAATACAATATACTGAGGACGACGACTGTGACTGTCCGAGCATCTCTTTTCTTTTGAACTTATGATTTTTCTTCTTCAGATGGTCACTGAATTAATGAATGTTAAAAGAACAATTACTGTGGGCAGCTTGTGCAACAGACATTGAACCAGAGCAGCCAAGATAAAACATAAAAGAGAAGGAGCGTGAGAATCACTTCTCTCTCTTTTTGGGTTCATTCCTCTCCATGACTAAGCCATTCCATCAGGGCTGAGGAGGGGATACCTTTCCTTTGTACTTCAGACCTGTGGGTTCTTTCTTTTTAAGATTTAGAAGCTATTCTGCTCTAAACTTTGTGTGTACTTACTACTCAATTTAAAATTTTCAAAATGATATAGCAGGCAGTTGAGACCTGTCAGGTAGTGCATTATATGTTACTAGTGCATGGATCAGGGCACATATTTCTTTCTGAACTCGACTTATGCTCAACGTGGTTAGGTTTGTATGGTGTTTTTCCCCTTATCATTAAACAAAGCAGACATTTGAGCGCTCCAGCAATCTTGCCTAAAGCCTCACATACATGTTCAGACCTGACCAGGACTTGAATATAATTTCGAAATTTCTGTGTAAACCTCGCCCAAACCCTCAGGTACCAACAGGTTCTGTCAGGCTCACACTTTATATGGTACAGCAGAGCAACAAAAGACAGAAACTGACGTAATGAAATGTTATGATTTTCCTCAATTATTTTAGCGTTTAGCTGTCTACTGTACTACATAACAGTGTGGGATAGGACACTGAATGCCACCCTTGCCAGTCTCAGGATCCTGATGACATGCTGACATGTCAGAAAAAAAAGCTAAGCGAGGTAACAGCTGCTGGCTGTAGCTATCATACACACATGAGAGTGGGATCGATCTTCTCATCTATCTCTTGTTTAAAAAAGTTAATGAACTTATAGTGTGAAACTATTCTATTAGACAAAGCTGCAGAAAGCAAACACACATATTACCACCTCTCCAACACAAAATATAGTAGACATACACAACAGTGTGTATTATATGGAAGGATACATACGTCTTGACTGTACAGTCCAATCCAGTGGGGGTCTGCCAATCTGTTGACAAGGACAGTAAGGAAAGCCTGGTGGTAGGCATCTGTAACGCTCACTAGGTCAGAATCATTCTCTATGCACATATGCATCGCGTCGTACCAGCTCATGTTGCCAGACACAACCTTGTAGGTGCGGCTTCCATAATCAATATTGTCAGGGAGAGGGTGGTGATAGGAGTGGGTGGGGGGTTTGGATGTATCTGTAACAAGAAAAATAAGGCGAAAGAGAAGAGTGTGGGAAGAATGTAAGATAACGATGGGCTGGATCTGAATAATTTCTTCAGTGTTTGGGACATATTGCATGCAGTCATTTCATGATTGGTTAGTGGTCGCTCACATCAAGTAAAGGAGAAGTTGAACATTTTGGATTAATGCACTTTTTTGCCAGAAGTTAGAAAGCTGAGCAGTGACTTCCATGAGACTTGGCATTATTGTGCAGTTGCCGGCCTGTGAAATAGTCCAGCACATAATTTGTAGTTTTTACACTTTGGGTTTTTTATGGATTAAGCAACCAGACAAAATGTGTTTATTAGTGAGCATTAGAAGTACTGATAGGCACATTTTTATTATGTTTGGGAAACAGTTTCCCCTGTTTCCAATATATACATGTTATGCAAATTTAAGCTGACTGTTTCATGGGTGTAGCTTCAATGTTTATTGGCTGACAGAGTGGTATTAGTCTTCACATCTAACTCGTGGCAAGAAAATGAAAAAGTACATTCACAAAAATGTTGAATTATTCATTTAACATTAACAATCTGAGCGATCAATTCCATTTTTAATCAATACCCCCTGCACCATCACTGGCATCACTGTGTACTTATTTCATTACAGGACAATATTTCAATCAGGCATATTTCCCATAAATGTGGCCAATGCGGCTCTATGGGTCATGTTAACTTTACACACACCACAGTTGTAGAGATTTGGGGGAAAGGGGGTAGAAGCCAGCTGTGCAAGCCTCCTGCAGCTTCCCAAATAAACATGATTTTTATATCGAGGGTGTAATTTTGTCCACTCCATTTTTGGAGTTCTATGTGGAATGGATGAGGTTTGGCTTTTTTCTGTGTTTTTTTCCAATGCAAACAAAAGAAATAAACATGAGAATACCAAAGAATTTGTGATTGCATCAATTTTCTGGAAGACGTGGTACGCTAACTGACAGAAATGTAGGAGTGCCAATATTTCTGGCCATGACTGCACAGAATAAAACCAAAGAAAAAGAAGCTGATGGGATCTTACCTTGAGGTTTCTGACAAACAAAGCCATACCCACTCTCGCTGCACTTCTCATCGTACCACTTCCCTGTCAGGTGGAAGCTGTGGTTGTTGGACAAGACAGTACACAGTGGTTCATCAGCAGCTCCACTCAGCCACACATCCTCCTGGGAGTTCATAAAGTGCATAACAGTACACACATACACACAAATCCAGTCACAAAGGCACACTTACTATATGAAGGCTGTCTCAGCTCACACATCTTTAGACTGATGTTACACAAACAAAACTGTGGTTACACCTTTGTTCGCATTGTACGGTCACCTGCAACTGGTCAACAATTTCTTGTTATGTCCAATTTTTTTGTAGTTGTCTATGCAAGGACAGAGAAATTATTTTGAGTGGCTATAGTTGTAGAAGTTCGGCTTGCATAGACAGTATCTATGAATGTCAGTTAGAGCACGTCTGAGGCCTGTACAATGCACAAATTGGTGGAATTATCAATTTTTCTTAACAAATGTCAATGGTACAACCTTGCGTACATAAAATTATATGACTATATAAGATAAACTATACAATTAATAACAGACAACAGATTGTTACATTTCTCTTAGCTAGAAGTGTAGGCCAACATAAAGGAGTTTACAGTGAGATAGCTCTTTGGTTCAACTGGAGACCAGTTAGTGTAGCTGACTGGTTTTCCATTGGTCCATTTCATGGTGTCCTCATCCCGTAGACCGATCCAGACGCCAACAGAGCTGCCCTGCAGCAGCATGGTGACGTAGGCTGCAGAAACGATGGCATCACAAGAGACAAATAAAAACAAAGATAAGAAAACAGGAGTATTTCTCTACCTACCAACAAAGCCTGAGGAGCACAAAGCGATCTTGTCTGATGTGTATATGATTATAAATGAAATTAGGCATCTACCAGATGGTTGTACACTTCACTTTGCCTCTACCTTGTTCAATCTCATCTTCTATAGCAACCAGCGAGCCTTCAAATGAGGCGCAGATGGACTGGGCATCTGTCCAACTCTTCCCCTCCTTTGCACTACCAGGAAGGTGAAGCAGGAGACACTACCAACACACATCCCACACAAAACATGAATATCACATTGTGAAATGCAAATCATTATTCCCCTCTCACCACCAGGACTCTTGTTTGGAGAGTTCAGGATTCAAAGTAAAAGATAGACAGAGGAGGATGTATTTTCATGTTGCTGGTGAAACAAGAAACAGACAAAAGGTTGGCAAATTATCCAAATTATGATTATTACATTCCCAAAAAAAACTTTTAAAAATGTTGCTTTATGGCTTAAAAACATTACTGAAGCAACGAACAATTAAACCATCAGTGGGGGGTTATTCACTGAAGAACAGCGAACGTAAACACAAACATCCTGCTTCAACCCCAGAAGCAGCTGGGAATTTAGAGAGGTGGTTGTTTTTGAACAGATTTTTGGGGGAAAACAGAGTAAAATGAGCCACTTTTTAACGATTTGCACCATTAAAGCAAAATAAGTGGACAGTCTTAAAATAGTAAAACTTTACTTTAGCTGTGACAGATGTTCCACAACAACTGTTTCTATCATGCTGTAGGAGGAATGATTCAAGAGCATGTCTATGTGTGCATATCCATGTGTGTCTGAACCTTATGTCCAAAGTACAGCCATTTCTCCGGACATCGTCCGATGTAGCGCGGCTGCCTGGGAGTCTCCACCACAGACACAGTCTTTCTCTTGCACACATAGCCATGAAGATCCTGGCATTTGCTCTTTGACCACTTCCCTGCAACACAGAGTAACAGGGAACCCCCAACACCTTCTAGCATGCACAAGCAGACACTACGTACATGAGTGCGTGTTTCTGTATGTGGATGTGTTTACCCGATGAAGAGGACATGGTAACACACAGCCCATTTCTGCTAGGGCCACCACGAACACTCCCTTCTGCCCAGTTCACAAAGTCGACCTCTGTTTTGTCACTCCACCTGCAAACAAACACACACATTTAGCATTGCTACAGCCTTAGCTGATGTCCCGGGTGTAATGAAACTGTCAGTGTGTTTTCAATCATGCAGCTAGTGCTCTGTGTTTTCCTGCCTGTGATGGGTCCACCTGTTCATCCCCAGAACCTGACCTTCACCGCCCCACCTAGGATTTAAAGAGCAGCCAATCCAGGGGTCCCAGTTTAATGGTTTGTGTGCTCATACAAACTTATATCGGCAGAACACAGAAGTCACATTCACATCTGTCTGTCTTATCAAAGCTCAGTATCACCAGCTGACTAGTCACATCAAATCACACTCATACAAGTGTACTACACTGTACTGATAAACTCTCAGTTCTCACTATTAGCCCACCTCACACCGCAAACTGCTCTGACTGTGATTTAAGTTTTGATTTTATTCAAGTTTTCATTCAAATGTAAAGCTTTTTTTTACCATTTCCATCCACTATTATCTGGAGGTTAGAAAGTGGCTACCATTATACCAATGCCAAAAAGAGGCCATAAACATGATTAAAAACTTGGTTAAAAATTGCTAGTGAAACCTCAGATGAACAAAAATAATGTGGACAACATCAAAGAAATATGACATTTTTGTTCCATTTTCTGTGAGGAAGGTTACAGTCTCCTCATATTAGCACCCAAAGCTGAAGTTTTCATCTGGTGCTATTTTATGTCTTTACAGCAGAGCAGAAGCTTCAGGGTTTTGTTTACTGTTTGAACCTGTAACTGTAGGCTTGCTTGTTTAGATGGTCTGGTTCTGCAGGCCCCTTTTCTTTTTTAGCAGATCTTGCTTGTTATTTTATGTATTCAGTTTCAATTACTAAAAAAAAATGTGCCATTACAATAATTTACTTTATTGTCAAATGTCTGTTGGCTTTTTGTTGTTTTCTCCCAGAAAACCAGGCCCCATTTCACCAAATGTGTAACATGTAAGCTACAATTTACCATGAGACCATTTTGTCTTGCTCATTTTGATATGTTTCACTATTCAAATCATGCACTGCAAAACAAGCATGAGCATTTGAAAATCTGGTAGCATTTATACATTTATCTGTGATTTGTATCATGTCTCACAATAATTTATAAAACAATGCTTTCAAAGAGCTTTTGTGGAACATGCCCCCAAGTCGTAACAACATCAGTATTTCTGTGCTCACAATGTTGAATGAAGTGTCAGTGGCAGCAAGAGGAAATGTTGAACAAGCTCCACAACATACACACCTGACCTCCTCCCCAGGCTGCCCAGTGGACAGGCCGATCCACCAGTCTGTTGGGCCCAGGGAGAGCTAGGAAGTGACAGAAATGCAACATTAACATTAACAGTAACTTTATCCTCTTCCATTGCAGTCCAGTCTTTACCAGATCTGCTTTTCAAAGCCTTTCTGACACAAGCAGCCATTCAGACGCGCTCCTTGGCTCCTGCTTCACCTCTTTCATTCATTTCATTGCCTTGTTTTGTTCCCTTTATCCTTCACAAGCCTCAGTACCACAAGAGACTTCTTTTGACTGGTCCAAAAGGCCGCTGCCGAAAAGCAGCCTTTTTCTTACCCGTGTGTAGGGGGCACTCAAGCATGAAAGTGTTTGCATATGAGGTACATTTAAGCTTTTCAGTGTGTGGTCTGTAAACACTTGAGTTTGTATGAGGAACGAGTGTCTCAATCGTGCTCACTCTTGTTCATGCACAAGTTTGTTTTTCTCTATACGTGTGAGCTGGTGGCCTAGCGGTCCAGTCAATGAAGATGAAGTACATGCTGCTTAAATGCCGAGCGCTGCTGTGAGAAACTGCACTCTTACTATCTGAAATCCAAAAATGTGTTTATGTCCAGTACTTCTGGAACCATTTTGGTGACTGCAATTAGACAGTGGGAGTATCACCAGTGGTGGCATAATCTCATTCTTACTTCGGTGCTGGTGGCGCGGGGGGGAGGCACTCTACTAGTGTCTTTATTATTATATAATTACTGTATTTGTTTGTTTAAACCACTCCACCCCCTCCTGATTCCTATTAGTCATATACTTATTACTAGACTGCATAGAGTTAAAGACAACCACGCAACACACGCTCACATAGCTAAACCACATACAGCATAAAATGTTTTTTCTTTTGTAAATGTCCTGCATTCATTTTATTCTCAATGTCCCGCTAATGTGCTGTTTTGGTTGTAATTTTAAAAGATAGGAGAATTTATATTGTGAAAAAGTGAATTGTCTGGTAAAACTGGTATGAGAAGTAAAGAGGTGGGAAAGTCACTAAAAGATGGTTGTTTTACAGGGAGTTAATTATTTGCAGATGTAATTTTCCACAATTTAGCAGTTATGTCTTTGTTTTAGAACTAGCTACAATCTTTTTTTTACTTGTATTGTATTGTCATATAGCATGGTTAACATTTTAGTCATGTTTTAAAAAGACAAAGTTTTAAAATTACTGGTATCTTATGTTTTCATTTCACTTTACAATACTGATAATCACAATAATATAATGCACACTTGTACTGTACAACATACAATGAGGAACAGAAGTATTTGAACACCCTGCGATTTTGCAAGTTCTTCCACTTAGAAATCATGGAGGGGTCTGAAATTCACATTGCAGGTGCATTCCCACTCTAAGAGACAGAATTAAAAAAAAATTTCAGGATTTCGGCCCCCTTGAACTTTGCGA